AGAGAGAGAGAGAGAGAGAGAGAGAGAGAGAGAGAGAGAGAGAGAGAGGTGTTTGAATCATACTTGCAGCGCATCTAATGCGCGGGGTACAGCACGCACATGCACGCACGCACAAGTGATGTGGCACATTAAAAAAATAGAAAAACAAAAATGTCCTAGTTGTGTCCAGCCTCTTTTCGGAAGGATCCCTACAGCATATTAGCTAGGACCCGACGTCATGCAGAGATACACTTCAAACTTGTACTCCCTGAGGGTGGGCAGAGAATATATAGTCTGGATTCGTATTCAGGTCTGTGCATGTCGTTATGGGTCACCATTTCTCTGTTTTCTTGCTTTTCTTTTCTTTTCTCGTTTTTCTTTTCTTAGGAATACGTGCAGTGGACCTAAGGGCCTTTACTCACCAAATGCACAAAAGACAAAACATATGGTGGCGTATTATTCCACGTTTGCAGTGGACCTAAGGGCCTTTACTCACCAAATGCACAAAAGACAAAACATATGGTGGCGTATTATTCCACGTTCTGCAGAAGATTCATTCTAATTTTGCACATTCCATGAGTAGTGCAGCCAAGCCCTAAGAGTCACGTGCAGAGACCAACAGGCCCTAGCTACATTAGCAACCCATAACTGCTGAAACACAGACCTGAATTCGAATCTTGAGTATATATTCGGCCAGCTCGTGCTCTATTTCATATTCACTGCCTGCCTCGATTTTGGTGGGGGGGTCTGCTCTACATGTCTGCGAGGACCCTTCAGATAGCCTGCATGGGCCGTCTGAGCCGTGTTAAGGGGATCCGTTCTCTCTCTCTCTCTCTCTCTCTCTCTCTCTCTCTCTCTCTCTCTCTCTCTCTCTCTCCCTTGTATACACACACCCCCCTTACGAAAAGAAAAGAAGAAAAAATGCATCTGCGCATCATCACAGACACCCCCCCAACCCCAGCACCCCCAACCCAGACCAACCCCCCCATCCCCCCACGAAAACCAAAATTTTATTGCAGATTCGGGGTCCTCTCGCCGAGCACAGAACGACCCCAGTTTCAAAAATAATAATAATAATAAATTGTGGGCCTTTTTTTGTCCTGCCCGGTTTACCCCGTGGGGCCCCCCGGGCCCAACCGGCTGGGCCCAGTCCGGCAGGGCAGGCTCGGCCGGGCAGCGTCCTCACTCAGTTAATAAATGAATAAATCAACAAATAATCAATGCTGAGCTAGGAACAGGGGCACGCGTGGAACCTGAAGTGTGCCTGGTCCAGAAAACGAGGCCAGGGCCTCACACAACCATCGGGTCCCGAAAGGGGCCCATGTGGAGGCCTGAGCATGATACACAAGCCCAAGGGGCCTTGCACTTATTTTGTAATTAACTTCGAAAATGCAGTTTTGGTTCTCGTATTCATGTTCGTTTGTTTATATTCAGTCCAAACAAAATCTCGGGCATCTTCTATCTACTATCTACTTTAACTCCTAAAGCATGCAGCGGGTCTTGGAAGACGCTCCCCGCTCGGCCCAAGGTGTCCTGGCAGTCTCCCGTTTCCCCGGCCTTGCATTTTCTTTTTTTTGTTTTGGGTTTCGATTTCTATGGCCCAGGGCTTCAATCGCAAGGTGCTTTTCTTCATGTTGCGGATTGCGAGATGCATGTTCGTTTGGATAGAAGACGTGAGTCACTGTGATGTTCCTTTTTTTATCGTTTTGTGCCGTTTCAACACCCGAAACAGCACACCCACATCGGGCAGCGCATTCAATGATCGTATCTGAAAGCCGTCGCGTTTTCCAAAGGGGAATAAAGACAAAAAAAGAAAACAAAAGGAATATGACACGTTGCACTTTCATGAGCCTCGCTCCACCTACTATCCAACTGTGCAAAATGAGACTGAATCCTTTACTAGAACATGGAACCATAGATTGCCATACTTCTTTTTTCCTTTTATTTAATAACCAAGGTAGATTCTTTTTTGTCTCTGTGCATGTGAGGAAAAAACGAAAAAAAAAGCTAACATGACACGCTGTACCTCCATGGGCATATGCACACTAGGGGCGTTGCTCCGCTACTCTCCAAATGTGCAAAACTAGACTGAATAGTCCGCTAGAAAATAGAAAGATACATTGCCATAATTTTGTCTTTTGTGCATTTGGAGAGTAGTGCAGCGCGTTCCACTGACCTATGTTCGAAACTAGGAAGAAAAAAAAAAAAAAAGTTTGAATCTAGATCCAATGGACTACCTCGGCCCCGTCCGTTGGAATCTGCCGTGCTGTCATCCACTCCGTATTTGTCTGTGTTTGTGGATACGTTCAAACACAACTTTATAGCCTCGCTCCACCGGCACTAGAACATGCAAAGATACACCCCCGTATGTTTGTGCTTCGTGTATGTTGTCAGTACTGGACCGAGGCCCAGACTGTCATGGCTGCTCGAGCCCTTTGGCAGGCCGGATGTGACCCCCGAGTGGCATGTGCCCTATGTTTGAACACAAGGACATAGTGGGGGCATTGCTCATCTATTCACCAAATATCGACTTTTTTTTTTTTTTTTTTTTACTGAGCTAGATTCTTCTCACAATGTCACCTTTCACCACCTACCTGTCACCAATCCTAA